TTAGACTCAGATGCTCAACAGGTCTTTTGGAACTTCTGTCTGTTGAGGGTTCAAACGTGGAGCTATTCTGAAGGCTTCCTGTAATTTGAAACGTGAAAGATGATCTGCTAAAGTGTTTTTCTTACCAGCAATGTGTTTTGCCTTAAAGAAAATGTAATGAGTAAGAGATGTTAAAACTGGTCTTCGGATGAGTTTCATTAGTGTTTTTTCCTTACAAGACTGTTTGTTTATCGCATGAACCACAGCCAAATTATCAGACATGAATAAAATCTTTTTGTTTGACAAAATAGGACCCCAAACTTCTAGAGCCAGTACAATTGGGAAGAGCTCTTTAATAGCTATCTGATGTTCAGCTAAATTATTTGTTACCCCCAACCCAAAGCAAACCATTCAGTCCCCAAGACCGCAGCAAAGCCTATAGAACCAGAAGCATCTGTAAACAGAAGCTCTTTATCTGAGGAAGACCACAGATCTGGCAAGATGACCGATTTACCATTGAAATTGTCAACAAAGTAGGACCACATGCAAAGATCCGCTCTAGCTTCACAGTTAAAGCGAATGAAAAAGGAAGGCTCTCTAACTCGGCAGGTTAAATCTATAAGTCTACGCAAAAAGGCACGACCTGGGACGACCACTAAGCAAGCGAAATTGAGAAGACCTTTTAGTGATTGCAGCTCTTTCAGAGTAACTTTTTTCCTTTGCTTCGTATTATGCAACTGGTCTCGAATCTTAGCAAGTTTGGGTTCAGGTAACCTACATTCCATTGCAACTGAGTCAACCTCTATCCTATAGATTATCAGGCATGTGGTAGGGGAATGGGTTTTTTTCTGCTTTGAATGGAATACCTGTTTCCTTACACAGTTCAAGAAAGTTTTTTAAATCACTATGGCACCTATTAGAGTTTTTTGGTCCGATGAAAAAAAAATCATCTAGCATGTGTGACATAACTTATGTCCCAAACTTTTGACACATAGACCACTGTAGACTGCAGCTGAGAAATTCAAAAATTTGACAAGAGCTGCTTGCCCCCATAGGGAGACATTTGTCATAGTAGTAGCAACCCTGCCAAGAGAAACCTAACAGTCTGTAGTCCTCTGGGTGAATTGGTTTGATGCGAAATGCATCTTGTATGTCAGCCTTAGCCATTAGGGAACCCTCACCAAATTGTTTAACCAGGTCTGTGACAACATCTATGGAGTCATACTGAACAGTTGAGTTTTCTGGGGGTATTAGTGAATGAACTGAATTATTTTTAGGAAAAGAGAGATCATGTATGATTCTGAATTTGCCCGGATCAGCTTTTAGTACGACCCCTAGGGGAGATGATATAAAGGGTTCGAAAGGAGGGGATGTGAAGGGACCTGCAGTTCTATTATTTTTTATTCCATTGGTAATAAAGTCATCAATTACTGAATGATGTTCAATTGCACTTTAGAGATTTTTTGATAAGATAGAATTTGGGATACCTTGGCAACCTAAATGAATCCCATATGAGAACCCTTCTTTAATGATTTGAAGTTTCTTAGGATCATAACCCCCTAAAAATTTAATCAGTTTTTCTATTTTGACTGGTGTTGGTAAGTTTGTAGGTTGTCCCCTGAGGTTTTGATGATTCTGTGCACTTAGATTTGGGGTGGTTTCCCTTGCATTGTAAGCAAAGGTGTTTGAAGGGACAAGGGTCTCGGAGACAACGTTCTCCCTTGTTATAGCTAAAGCAGAAGTTTCCCTCGAAAGGGCTGGTTTTGAGCCTGTTTATTGTAAGTTTTAGGGAGGGTTGCTGCTTTTAATCTCAATTGTTGAATTGGATTTTGCCAAGGGACATTTACTGTTTCTTTGAGCTTCCGAAACTGTTCGTCATACAGTCTGAAAGCATTATCCCCATGCAAACGTTGTATTTCCCTAATCATGTGGCCATATTTGAGGAGGTGGGGAGCTTGTTGAGGGAACTTTTCAATGTAAACAGCTGCAAACACCAGGAATGCATCTGTCCATTGAGGAAGTGAAATAGGTGTTTTGTATTTTGGGCTTTGATGCAAGTTGATCACTCAAGTAGAAATTGTAAGAGAAATTGGTTCTTTAGCATTTAACAAATTTCTAAAATCTATGAACTCATTATTCCAAATTTTTGTTTTCGTTTTCTGAGATAATGAAGAGCCTAGTGGTAAACCATCATTGAGAATTACATTTACATTGTTTGGGCTTGCTTGCCTTGCTGGCTCACCTAGAAAAATTTGATCCACTATGGCACCAATGTTGGTGCTTGCTGAGGAAGATCCAGATGCCTGTGCTGTTGCTGTAGTGTGCACTGCTGTTGTAGGTTGGGTTGCAGTTGATGCTGGCGGTGAAGCTACCACAGACTCTGCATTAGGGACAGATGTTGAAGTTTGCTTGATGATTGCTGTGGCCAGCTTGTCGTAATCGATCGACGGTTGGCTGTCTTGGGAGGATCCACTTGCAGGGGCGTCTGTGTTATTTGTGGCTGTCGACGTCCTGCGTTGTTTCTTTGGCGCGGTCGTGGTGGATCCCCTGATTCCTCCTACTTCTCTTAGGTGGCATGATCCAGACCTAAGAACAGACTAACTTTAATTGGTTTAGGCATTACACAACACAGTTTGTGCACAATCAAGAATAATACCCTGGGGACCCGTGATAAGGCTACACAGGTTCCCAAATTACATTTAAGTATATATCATCCTGATAATCGTATTTTCAAGACAATAACCTATCTCAAATATAGATAGCTCTTGTTATTTTCTTGAAACATGAAAATTTAAATATATCTGCTTGAAAGAAAGGAGAAGCTGTAATGTAGCTGATCATGTAATGTCATATGGTATAATGCATGTCTGACATACTATGGTAACTGGTGTGAGCAAGAGACATTGCATATATAAATATTGTGTATATTTAAAGTGATGAAACTATCTCAATACGTATGATTCCGTGTTAATCAAGCGACATATAACATATACAAAATGGTATAAATTCCTAAACACGTATGGTCCCGTGTTTAGTCAATAATCCAGGTACAGCATGATGTAACCCACCAAACACGTATGGTCCCCGGCGTGATTAGTGAAATATTTCCATGTACAACACTTATACTTCTAAACCCGTAAGGTCCCGTGTTTAGAGAAATATTTCGATACAACATGATGCAACTACTTAAAGCAATATGAGCTGCAACTTTGATGTCGGAATTTTTTGTTGCAAAATTGTAAATAACTATTTCAATGACAGAAAAAATAACGTTAATAAACTTCTGTTGTTCATATTTGCGATGGAAGAACTATTTATAAGCTTCGATTGAATCAAAATTACATTATTGTCGTCCTGTACAATAATGATTTCTTATATAAAACTGTATATTGGATTGTATATAGAAGTTTATCTTCTGCTTAATTTTAGTCGAATTCAGCATAAAAGTTTAAGTTACATACAAATTTATCATAATAAAACATTTTAATAGCAAAATCATAATTGCAGCTCGTATTGCTTTAACACGTATGGGCCCGTGTTAACTTGAATATTCCAAATACCAAAAAATGCAACCAACTGAACAAGTATGGTCCCATGTTTAGTAAAACAATGTTGCAAACAACAATAATAAGCATAAGCTTACATTAACTTGTCATCAATAAACAGATAAAAGTTGCAGGGTTAATATTAAAGCATGTATTTTATCCTGCACGAGAATAGACCTTCACAAAGGTACCATTGAGCCTCAGTAATTTGTATTTGTCAAACGTATGGTCCCGCTCGACGACTACTGAGCTCTACAAATTATGAGATGATTCATGAACTTTGTTCAAGTTAACTGCATGTGTTTCATATTTTGTAACAAAGTATATTTATGTCAGACATGCATGACCTTTTTTTAAAAAAAACATCTATACTGGCCTGAGTTTTGAACTATAATGGAGGACTGCTGATCGGACACTCCTCCAAAATGTGTGCATCGGAGATGAGGTCACAACATGCACATTGGATGGACCATCTTTTAAATGCACCCCGTCCCGACGCAGGAAACTCAAGTCCTTCCAGAATCCTCTGTGGTGCAAGAAAAATTTCCCGGATTCATTGTCACAGCATTGCTTTAATTTCTGATTTATATATATAACATTAGCGTTAAAATCCGCACTAGAAGCCCAGGGTTGTCGGCGTTAAAGCTGTCCAATGATCACCAACTGAATTCCCACGCCATGGTGCAAGTAGCCTGCTAGAGAGATAATTTCCCGTGATATCTTGTCGACGTCTCCGCTTGCAATGTCATTTTCTCCCAATTGAATAAAACAGACGTGTTGTACAAACACAAACCGTAACATCACTGCAGAACTCGCTAAGTGGGCTATCCTTAGACCCCCTTGGGCACGCACTTCGATGTGAAAACGCTCAGCATCTAAATTTAAATTTCTCAAGTCCCTACTAGAATCCATATAGCGTTTTAGACGTGTTATAAATGAATGTCCAATTAAACAACAGTGGAGAAAATTTGGGCTGTCCATGTTGTGGCGGCTCATCTCCAAAATGGCGGTTCTCACCGGATCGCAAACTAAACACACAACGTGCAAAGAAACAAACTCACTGTTGTGCTACAATCCTAACAAAACTTCTTTCCTCCAAGGAATAGTTGTATTCCGACAAAGGACTTGTAATGCACGAGAAGATAAAATGAAGTTTAGTCCATAGAAATAGCGATCATTTTCGTTAAAATTTATGTGTGGCTTTTCCTTTCGTAAAATAATACAAAATGATACATGAGGTGAGGAGCCACGCTGATTGGCTAAAAAATCCAAACTGCGGTTTGGGTAAAGTTAGGTACACTGTACATAGCCGGGTTACAAAGAACTAGGTATCATATGAGTAAAACTAGAGGCATAATAAAATCAATAATATGACAAATATTGGATATATTAATTTGGGTTTGTCCGTGTTTACGAGAGTGCATTTATTGGGTATTTTTCATGCCAAGATTGTACTTATTGGGTACTTTTTGCTTATTGGGTATACCCAATAAGAAGTGTCGCTGAATATGCTTAAAACACCCTAATTGGGTATTTGCAGGTTAGTACCCAACAAAACTTGGACACGACGATTTGTCCAAAAAAGTGTCCAAAAAAGTTGCTTTCACGGACGCACCGTGTTTTGTGTTTCAGTTTTACATTCGGAACTCTAAATTCTCGAGAGTTCCGAAAATCAACTTCCGTTGATCCTGATCATAACAACGTTTGTTTTCATGGAAAAAAAATATGGCGACTAAGAAACACTTAATGTCAACAAGATTGTCTGATTGACAAGAGAAAAGGTAAGTTTATTCGATTAATATTTATCTATTGCTGGGTTCTTGTTTAAGGAAAATTGATTTTAATGTAATTTTGAAAACAATTGTGCACAAAATTAAAATAGATATATCGGAACAATTAATCCTAAGTTGCACTTGTATGTATTTTGAATTTTCTCTGTCTTTTTAACTCTCTTGAGGGCGAGAAGTATTTAGTAAATGATCGTATATTGTTAGATAATCTTTAATAAATCGAAAGTGTTAATTATTTAATTTTATATCATAACCAACTAAGTATGTTCTGACAATGTATATTGGAAAGGGAAATGAAAATTTTAACAATCGTGTGTTCATAAATCAGCTGTAAATTATCGGTTCATGTAGACAGTATTACAATCGCAAAGTGAGCTGAGATGATGATAAATGGGATAATTGACAACAACTAAATAATTGTATGTAAGTTTATCTCATCTGATATGTAAGAGATTCATTGTATTACTGAAAAACGTTCAGTCAAAACAGTGCTTCTTTCTGTCTTTGATTTTGAGTGTCTGCTTTATTTTGATTTTTTTTTAAAATTATTGTTTTTGGTATTTTTTTCAATTAATTTAAAACAATACTGAAATTGATATAGGGCTACTATAACTATTTCACATGATGGGTGTGTAATTAGCATCGCGCTACACCCGGGGCTTCCATTTTTGAGGATGGGGCTAGTGGTTTTCTGCACTGAGGAATCCCCTTGGGCTATTAGGAATTTTAAAATACACATGTAATGCATGAAAAGCACCACCGGTATTTTCACTCCTTTTTGCTATTAAATTCCCTATATGGAAATATTCCAGACAGCATGCTCCTATTATCCATAAATCTCCACAACTGCATTAAATTTGCAGTACTACCAGACTGATTTTCCTTAAAAACGATCTTTTTTTTCCTAATTTGAATTTCCCCCCTTTTCTTTGTTTAATATAGCAATATTTGCATGTACATATATGCCTCACAGATATCTCATTATTAAATTATATACATTTACTCAATCAGCTCAATGATAAGTGTCATGCAATTATGTTGCGCTTTTTTTTATTTAAAGCCATATATGGCGTAACTGATCAAAAAATATATTTTTGAAAAATACAAAATTAAGTAAAGAAATATAGTTAATACATTTAAATTAAAGCTTTTCATACAATTCGGAGCACGGAGAACACCTCGTTTCATCTAATAATACGATTTTATCTTCTCTGTAATGTGTTATTTAAATCTTTTGTATTTTCTTCCAAGTCGGAGAAAATTTTGAGAATCCAAATTAAATTTTGATATCTTTATAACGCAATTGACTTAGATTTTGTAATTTACGGAAAATTTCTATCTTTATCATGTTTATATAAATTAATGATACAAATAATAAGTTTTTATAATTTCAGTCTAATAATTTTCATTGTACATACGCCATATATGGCTTTAAATGATTCAAGATGAAAACAAAATGATTTTTGATTCGTTTTAATTAGACAAACTAGTGAATGACCAGAAAAGGAATATTTAAAATCTTTTTTTTTTCATTTTTTTAAATCATTAATTTATATATGATTAAATTTTACTAGCGAAAATTAAATTAAACTTTAATTTTAAAAAGAATCATCTGTAGTTAATACCCTGACTTTTTTCACGATGAACTTTTTTTCAATGTTACTTTTTAATTTTTGCCTCTATATTTGGGCTTGTCACTTTTTACTCGGGGATAGTAACTTTATTGCCACCAAGCTGTGGATTAGTACTTGATTTCCTTTATTGCACAGCGATGACTATGATTTAATAGCACAAAAAGCTAATGGGTTTACGTATGTGAATTTATATGATTAATGCTTACTTGTGATTTTAGGATAACTGGAGATAATGTTTCCTTTTTTTCCATTGATATTACATAAATATTTTCCTAAGTATTGTATTACAATAAATTGGTTTAGATTTTTTTTTATAAAAGTAATCAATAATTGCAATGGAAATTAAAACCATAATCATGTTCATTGAGGATTTTCAATATGTAACAGGTCAAACAGGAACTTCAATTGTGAACATTGCAGAGAACACACTCATCAGAAGATGACCCTCAGAAATAGGACAATTGTAAGTAATCAGTAAAATGATCAGGAATACTTCATGCCAACCATAAGATTTTTAGAGACATTTTCGCTTCTTAAATTAGAAGAAATAGAGGGAAAAACTTGTACATACTACATAACTACTAGGCAACCAACCTTTAACGGCAGGAAAGCTTTTGGTATGTGCAATACAGCTACATAAAACCTTTTTAGTATTCATGTTGAGTTTGAGAAAGTACCTTAGTATTTTTTCTAGTGTTTGCCAACATTTTCATGCACACTGTTTGCTTGTTTGTACTATCATTTTATTTTATATTCTTCAGATGCCCTTTACCTTTGCCAGTTTTGAATCATTTGAATTAAGGGCATCTGAGGGTTGGTTCCAGCACTTAATTAATTTTAAAGTAAATACCGTGGTACTATTCGGTCAAAGGTTATGTTAATACATGTATAACATATTGTTCTGATATAGGTGGCATACAGGAAAAGAAACAATACTAGATATCACTTCAAAGGAATAAAATAGCTTCATCTTGTAGGTGTATTTTATTTAAGGATCACTACTTCATGTCTGATGTGGTGAAAGTTATTCATATTCTGTTTGACTGTAATTTTTCATATTTTCAACTTCTATCCAACTTAGTCAATTTTAATTAAAGGAGTTTTCCACTTAAGTATAGTAGCGTGGTCCTTTTTTGCCCTTATTTTACAGAATATACATGAAGATGCGGTATTATTTTTAGTTTCATTGTGTAAAACAAAGTATTTCTAATTAACATTTTGTACAATCATTATTTATAACTTGGAATATCAAGAAATACAAGCCGATTTTCAACACCTACTGAACACACAAATTCCGGAACGTTTTCTTTCGAACAGAGTACGGTTCCTCTATTACATACAAATGAGCGGAGACATTTAAATTAGGTATTATATAAAGGAAGAACCGATGAATTGTAGCATGAGATAAGAAATAATAAACAATATACGATGGGTAATAATAATCTTCAATACGTTTGAATTTTATTTTGCATCATTCGTATTCTTCTTAACTTGGGGTAGGTAGGAGTCTTTTTTAGTTCTTGTGGTATTTTTGTCGGGGTTTTGAAAATCCCCCTAATCACAATAATTTTTAAAAAATCTATCATTGTTGAATAAAATGTCAAGATATTTTACCCACTACAATAATTTTCTTTTATATGATTGTTTGAAAAGCACAAGCGATTGCATAATAATTAACAGTAAATACAGACAGACATACACTACCATTCTTTTGTATTCTTTTGGGTGGGGGTTGGGGGGGGGGGCTGAGAAAAAGAAAACAAGAAACATGAATTTGATAAAGAAAAACGATTAATGTAAAATTAGCAGTTAAAAAGATACTCATTTTTTATTTGAAAAATTAAATTTCAACATTAATGTGTGTTATTCATATTGGAGCAGCGTAAAGGCATACAATTTATTTTGCTAAATTTATCTATGAAAATAATGTGCAAGTCATATGCTACCTGCCTGACATGTATATATATTTCTTAACTTTGTTTGTGCAATAATATATTTCTATGATTATAAATAAATGTAATTATATAAAATTTTATATGCATGCAGCTAAAAGCCTTACAAGTCCCAGAAAGCAGTCCCCAAATTTGATTTGGGACCACTTTCGAACTCTGTGGTGCATGGGACCGCAAATAGGCGGAGACATTTTTGAAAGCGCATAGTTGTGGAATGTAAACATTAGACATATGATTTTTTCGCTCATTGTGAATTGAAAGGTTCTGAGTGACATGAGAGATCCACCCCTTGTGTATTCTGAATTCATGGTTTTGCATTTAATTATTTAAAGCAAGATTTCTAATGTTAAGTAGAGATTATTTTAGTTAATTTATATTTTCAGGGACTGTATACTGACACAAATTAATGTGTATTTAGAATAAATAAAAAAAAATAAAGTTGATAAATAAGGAATTCAGCCTTTTATCAAAAATAAACTACAAGTTTATAGAAAAACAAAATAGCTTACATGTGGGCCTTTTTTAATGATTTAATGTTAATTGTAATACTCAAAATTTGCATTGGTACATCTAAAAATATTCATTACAATTAAATATAAAAGTGCTACACATTTTATAAGGACCACGCTAAAAAAAAGAGTATTCCATGTATAAATAAAACCCAACAATTTATTAAATGAACATGAATTCTTTGAACATAAAATTATGCTACCATTCTCCCGTGACATAAACTTGTGAATAATCATTGGGAAATTAATTAATTATCGGATCTTTTAATTAATAAACAAGTTATTAAAAGAATAGCATTATTCATTTTTTTAAAAAATGAAAATACACGGGAATTGTGATTATAAAATTCTGTTGTTGCTAGTGTTTACCTGGCCGATTAATGTTTATAAGATGGTATCAACACCCATTGCTTGAATCGCCTTTTTCGATATAATGTTATTTTGGTAAATTTAGACATCATTGAACATGCTGGTAAACATTGACCTAATTTCAATTTATTTAATGCGAAAAAAATGTTCTGTGCAAATGAAATGTGTTTAAATTTCTTTCGGGATTAATTAATTTTGAACATAAGTCGTTGAAAATTCTGGTGATGTACACTATAAATTCACAATATAAAACACTTAAAACTGAGTTTTATAGAACCCATTAACGATAATTAAATTGTCAAAAGTAAAAATAATCATTCGACTGAAAATTTAATACTTGGCAAAATTAATACAAATTTACCAAAAGCCTGCTACTTAAGACATTTTTAATACCTATAAAAATTGGCATATAATTCTAATGAATTTTGGTGGAAAATAATTAATTCACGTTTAATTTTCTGTATAAAAATAAATATCAACCATATAAGTGCACTTATTCCCAAGAATTTGATTAAATTTTCATGTTCAGTGTAATTCATATATGTACATGTATGTGAAATCTCATTTTTTATTATAATTATTTCAATTTTTAACGCGTACATGTGTGTTCATAAATGACCTTCGAGCACATGTAAGGATTCCTGAATCAATTTCTACTGCCTTTTATAGTTTAAAAATCGGTTTATTGGAAATCTCATTTATCCCTCCGCCCATTAAATTAATTTACTACTGCTCTCTGACATGTATATATATTTCTGCTAACCGCTTCTGGGACTTGTGGGACTTTACTGGGACCGCTGTATAAATTACAGTCCCAGAAATTTTTCCGAGTTTATATAAAATTTTATATGCATGCAGGTAGCATCCAAATACGTGACAAAAGTATAAAGTTGCTTTGAATATTGAAGTAGTCAGTATGCGAGTTTATTTGTTTAGACAGTGATTAAATGTGAAGAAATTATTACGTCTTCGGTATTTTCTGCTTATAATATTTTGTTTCTTTTTCGCAAGAAATTGATTAAATGTGTATTTATGTTCATCTACGCGTGTGCTTCAATTTTTACAATGAACAGGAATATTGCGATTTAAAACGTGCAAGAGAATTGCAAAATATCCCGGAATATCGTCAAAGTTTAACATATTAGTGATATTCATCGAAGTCTACAGAGACCTTTTTTTAATTTAAAAAAATGAAAGCTGGTGTCTGCACTTTTCAAATACGAGCTACCAGATTGTGTCGCTTTCTATAGTAAACACGCTTTCCAAAGGTATTCACCTGTGGCGGAATGGAATCACGTGACATATTATCTCTTCTTAGCAGGTCAACAAGAGGTTAATCCTATGTAAATGTACTCACCGAACAGATTCAAAATCATGATACTTTTTAGTAGAGGACATAGAGCGCAATGTTGTTCAACAAAGATATTTTCACACAATCTGTATAAATGTAATATACACATTATATTCTGATGTAGACTTTGAACAAATCGGCGCTCGATGTTCTTAGGTGGGTACCTGTCACAAATTTCTTTTGATATTCATGAAAATCAAAGGACCCCACCTTCAAAACACAGCTTCGCATGTTCTTTTTTGCAATTTAAACATTGGAGCATATACTACAGACATAAGAGAACTATGTAATTTACTTCTTAAGCTTTTTAATGAAAGTTTAAAATTTGACGAGATAATGGCTTATTGAGACTTCTTCTTTTGTGCAAAGCATACCCCAGGAAGGGGGGATGGAGTGTCAAGTGTGTCTCTGTCCCTATCAATATAATTTCAAAGCAGTTAGTAAGGTTTGGGTCAATTTTAAATCCTCTTTAGCAGAACCATTGGGCTAAAACAATACTAATATGAAAGCTTTATCATTAAGTTTAGAGATGTTTTTGAAGATTACGTACCCCTAATGTACTGATGGTGTTACATTAGAAGTCTTAAATTTGCAAGGATTAGGTGTATTATCTTTTTAAAATCTCCTTCTTAACAATCAGAAACTAACAAACTGTCTAATTAATATGCAACATCGTTTTGTGTGTTGAATGATGATTCCATTTTGATAAAATTATGGCAGATGGGGGGTAGCATGAAGATGCAGTTAGACATAGAAGAAACAAAAAAGAGTTGATAGAATTTAGTTTTTCTTCCATTTTATTTATCAATACATATTTCTGAATAAGAAATATACTTCTACTTCTTGGTTGGGTTTGATCAACATAAAGGGTGATCTTACTGTAGTCAAGAAAAACATGTTTTATACGGCAAAGAAATGCCTTTATCTAATTGCAGAATGAATAAAAAGGACAGAGGCAGATTTGAAGGAGATGCATGAAATGAGGAATATTTCAAAGATTGCCTGAGCATAACCACTGCTACTGGATAAACATATGGCAATATAAAAGAGCAGGGTCAATGGAGGTATCATACAGTATAGGCCATGAGAGACCCTGAAGAAGAAAGAATGGAAGAGAAACAAAAATAAAACCATTTTGACATTTATTGAAATATAGGATCAAAGCCTTACATGTAAAATTTGGGCATGTAATGACTTTTCTCTTGCTCTAAGACTTATAACAGTGATGATTTGATTTAACATCTTTATCCCGATTTGTCGAAAAGATTTGGACATAGTGCATCAATTATTTTAAAGTTTTGATACAACAAATTCATTCATTGTACTTGTAACTGAGTTTTCGGGTGCGACACTGTTTATTCGGCTTCAAAACTAAATTTGTGATTTCCAAACCAGATTAATGAGATACATGTAATATCTTTTATCATCGGTGACTATTAAATCCATTCTTTTACATCTCAGAAGTATTTTTATTATAGAAATTTTCCATATAATACAACACAATCTTAGCAACTGAAGGCAAATTTTATCAAGGGTGTGATCTATTTATCAATATGGTTTTCAGCATCTTGCTCTACCTGTAATGACTTGCTCCAAGTTCCAATATTTAAATTCAAATTTTGCAAACTTGGTTATAAAATTCTTTAAAAGCCAAATAGTTTAGGCACAAAATGCTTATATATTTCCTATCATTTGTAAAGTGTACACTGAATGAGATGTGGAGTGTTAGAATTAAAGTATTAAATATGTTTTGGACTTATGTATGCTTATGCAGATAAATTTGAATTCAACTAGGAAAGGTAAATGTCATACTTATTGGGTTTGCAGTCTAATGCAAGAGTATAAATATCCAAGACAAATTTGACAATTTTAATGAAGGGTATAAGTAACCCAAGAAGAATTGGACAAGTAAACATTACCTGTTGGGTTTTATTCTAATGTTGGGATGTAATATCCAAGACGAGTTGAACCAATGTCCAATACCTATTGGGTTTTCTTTCTTATGAAAAAATTTTGAGTAACCCAAGAAGAATGTCCAATAACTTTTAATTTATATACTATTGAAGGGATGAAGATATCCAAGAAGAATTGGACAGGTGTCCATTACATGTTGGGTAGTATTCTTATGAGGAGATTCTCAAGAAACCCAAGAATTAGACAAGTGTCCATTGCCTGTTGGGTGGGATGTAGATATCCAAGAGGAGTTGGACGGATGTCCATTACCTGTTGGGTGGTATTCTGATGAAACAATTCAAGAAACCCAAGAAGAATTGGACAAGTGTCCATTACCTGTTGGGTTGTATTTTGATGATGCAATTCAAGAAACCAAAGAATTAGACAAGTGTCCATTGCTTGTTGGGTGGGATGTTCATATCCAAGAGAAGTTGGACAGATGTCCATTACCTGTTGGGTGGTATTCTGATGAAACAATTCAAGAAACCCAAGAAGAATTGGACAAATGTCCATTACCTGTTGGGTGGTATGTAGATATCCAAGAGGAGTTGGACGGATGTCCATTACCTGTTGGGTGGTATTCTGATGAAACAATTCAAGAAACCCAAGAAGAATTGGACAAGTGTCCATTACCTGTTGGGTGAGATGTAGATATCCAAGAGGAGTTAGACAGGTGTCCATTACCTGTTGGGTTGTATTTTGATGATGCAATTCAAGAAACCAAAGAATTGGACAAGTATCCATTTCCTGTTGGGTGGGATGTAGATATCCAAGAGAAGTTGGACAGATGTCCATTACCTGTTGGGTGGTATTCTGATGAAACAATTCAAGAAACCCAAGAAGAATTGGACAAGCGTCCATTACCTGTTGGGTGGTATGTAGATATCCAAGAGGAGTTGGACAGGTGTCCATTACCTGTTGGTTTGTATTTTGATGATGCAATTCAAGAAATCAAAGAATTAGACAAGTGTCCATTGCTTGTTGGGTGGGATGTAGATATCTAAGAGGAGTTGGACAGATGTCATTACCTGTTGGGTGGTATTCTTATGAAACAATTCAAGAAACCCAAGAAGAATTGGACAAGTGTCCATTACCTGTTGGGTGGGATGTAGATATCCAAGAGGAGTTGGACAGATGTCCATTACCTGTTGGGTTGTATTTTGATGAGGAGATTCAAGAAACCCAAAAAGAATTGGACAAGTATCCATTTCCTGTTGGGTGGGATGTAGATATCCAAGAGGAGTTGGACATGTGTCCATTACCTGTTGGGTTGTATTTTGATGAGGAGATTCAAGAAACCCAAATAGAATTGGACAATGTACACATGTTCAATTGTTCTTGGGTAGTTTAATCCCTTCGTCAAAATACAACCCAACAGGTATTGGACACCTGTCCAATGCCTGTTGGATACCTTCATTCTGCCCAACATGTAATGGGCATTTGCTTATTATTAATTGGTCATGACTCAAAAAGGTTTCTCCTGAAATACTTATCTTTGTTATTCAAGAAAGGTTGAACAGAGTCTGAGATGTGTTGAGTTGTGTTTGCACAATTAAGTTTTTTTTTTTTTTTTTTGCACTTAGGTATTCATATATTTTAATATTAGATATTTTGAAATATACAGGTGTATATCCTTATTGCTAAGAACAAATTAGTTAGGTGTTACAATAAAAGAGCTATATCACAGAAATTGACAAAAATATGGGTTCAAAACCAAAGGTTTTCAGTCTTGTCTGAATTTACCAGCAAATATTAAATATATAATAAATTTGGAATGAATAAAAAACAATAAGAAAAAACCCAATAAAATACGGACACGAGGATTAATATCCAATAAGATTTGAACAGTAACTACCCAAATAATGCTCTCTCGTGTGTACACTTTTTTTGTATCCAATAAGCAGTATCCAATAGGACTTGGACTTGATGTACCCAATATATAACCAAATGTGTGTCCGTCCGTCTTTCTGTCTGTCTGTAACGCTTTCGTTTCCTCTCGAGAACCCTTTGAGCTTTTGAAATGAAATTTAGCATAGCAACTCCCTATGGACTAAAGAAGACCCCTATTGATTTTGAGGTCAAAAGGTCAAAGGTCAAGGTCATAAATAAGCAAATTCTGTCTGTGAAAACACTTTCGTTTCCACACGATATCTCTAGAACCATTTGAGCTATTGCAATGAAATTTTACATAACAACTCCCTGTGGCCTATTGAGGACCCCTATTGATTTTGAGGTCAAAAGGTCAAAGTTCAAGGTCGTAAATTTATACATTCTGTCTGTGTGTAATACTATCATTTCCGGGCGATATTTCAAGAAGATTTTGAGCTTATGCAATGTAATTTTATACCAAAACTCCCTAGGACGTCTCTCGCCCCTCTCAAAGTGCCCGCCCCGTTTGTTTTATTAGTATTTATAGTATTAATTGTCGCTATTTTTAGCGCAGGGGCATGAGGAGAGTTATTGCGTATCAAACAGGTTCTCGGCGGACTTTATGTTCTTATTACATCTATAAGAACTGTTTAATAAAGGCTAAATAAATCAAACACCATGGATTATGTAAAATTTTGAGAATACCGAACATGAAAAACATGAATATATACATGCATGTGACTTCAGTTCTGCCTATACTTCACGCCGCGTTAAGCGATTCCTCGGTCTAGTGGTTATGTCTCTCGCTTCAAATGTGAGAGGACACGGGATCGAATCTCGGTCGATCCTTTCTTTTTTTCTTTTTTAAATACTTTTTTTTTACTAAATGATAGTATTCAGCATGTGAAATGAAAAATTTATGAGGTTATAAAATCATCATTATAGTGTGATAAATATTCCATATAAAAAAATCTTCTATACACATAATAAAGAATAAGCAATCAAATCTTTATATGCATATTGACATACATGTATTTTATTTCCTTCAGTATACATGTATACATTTAATAATTCTACAAATTCAGTCAGGGGGGCCGACTTTTTCCCTAAGCGGGGGACACGAATTCTCTGAATTAGCTTGTTCTTTTAGAAAGAGTATCTTTTAAAAACTAACAAGCTTTGCAGCGTCTAAATTGAGTAATGAACTTTTTAAAATTTTGAACCGAAATTCAGTTAAAAATAAACATAATCTGTGTAGATTACACATTACAACTATTATTTTGCTTTTAATTGAAAAGCATGTTTGATAAACATCACCATTTGAATGTCCATAGGAGGTTGACTTTAATTTGGTTTTTTAATTTTTTTTTTTATTCAAAATATTACAAGTAGACACGGGAATGGCAATGGAGTCAGTAAATTAAAAAGCGATATTTTTTTGGTTCAATAATTATTAATGTTTCAGGTGTATATATAAGAAATTATGGTTTCAACTGTTTTCATTTATAATTTTTAGACCATTTATCAATTTTTGATAAACATCACCATTTGAATGTCCATAGCGATATCTTTATGAAAATTCTTTTAACACATCGCTAATTCTTTCATGTAGAATACCTTTCATCTTTTTGTCCCCCGCTTGAAAAGTGGGGGATATTAATTTGGGTTTGTCCGTCCGTCCGTCCGTCCGTCCGTCCGTCTTTCTGTCTGTCTGTAACGCTTTCGTTTCCACACGATATCTCGAGAACCCTTTGAGCTTTTGCAATGAAATTTAGCATAGCAACTTCCTATGCACAAAAGAAGACCCCTATTGATTTTGAGGTCAAAATGTCAAAGGTCAAGGTCATAAATAAGCAAATTCTGTCTGTTAAAACACTTTCGTTTCCACACGATATCTCTGGAACCATTTGAGCTATTGCAATGAAATTTTACATAATAACTCCCTGTGGCCTAATAAAGACCCCTATTGATTTTGAGGTCAAAAGGTCAAAGTTCAAGGTCGTAAATTTATACATTCTGTCTGTGTGTAACACTATCATTTCCGGGCGATATTTCAAGAAGATTTTGAGCTTATGCAATGTAATTTTATACCAAAACTCCCTAGGACGTCTCTCGCCCCTCTCAAAGTGCCCCGTCCCGTTTGTTTTATTAGTATTTATAGTATTACTTGTCGCTATTTTTAGCGCAGGGGCATGAAGAGAGTTATTGCGTATAAAACAGGTTCTCAGCGGACTTTATGTTCTTATTACGTCTATTAGAACTGTTTAATAAAGGCTAAATAAATCAAACACCATGGATTGTGTAAAATTTTGAGAATACCGAACATGAAAACATGAATATATATGTATGTGACTTCAGTTCTGCATATACTTCACACCTTGTAAAGCGACACCGTGGTGTAGTGGTTATGTCTCTCGCTTCAAATGTGAGAGGTCGCGGGATCGATTCTCGGTCGATCCTTTCTTTTTTTTTATTTTTTAAATACCTTTTTTTTTTTTTTTTACTAAATGATAGTATTCAGCATGTGAAAATGAAAAATTTATGAGGTTATAAAATCATCA